TTTTGCATAGTGTAATGTGATATGATAATCATTATCATGAGAGCAGAGTTGGAATTTGGAAAATATTGCAAAGCAATAACCAATCACAAATTAATAAATGTTTTTTAGAACCACCGCCACCATCAAAAATTCCTAAAATTGAAACTTCACATCCACCAATACCTCCTGCACATCCACCTCCAGGTAAGCTTTTATTTTCTTAAAAACATTTATTCTTGTAATTTCCTTGCTTTTCATTCAGGTGGGAGCAGGGGTTTGTTGCCTTGATTCATCTGCTTGGCAAGTAAAAATACAAGATTGATAGCTCTAGAGGGATTTCATCATAGTAGCACAGGCTTTTCCAGACAGAACTAAAAAACTTACAATGGAAACAGGACTATACTAGGTGGATAAAGGAAAAACAAAGCTGCAACAGTTAAAGGCCTAGAAGATGAAAACTAATTGTTAATAGCAGGCTAAAAGGAACTTCTTGATCTCAAAATGATGATAGATGCCACATTGGATTACTAGAGCAGCCTTCTGCTTTCCTATAGAAGTTTTCCATGTTATGTCTGTTGTACAGGAATTCTGCAGGTGTGCAACTTCCAAACAATAATACAAAAAATACCAAAAAAAACCCACCACAGGGGGATGCTTTCTTTGCTGTACCTAAAAAGAGGATTTTTTTCTGCCAAGGAACACTAATACTGCACACATGCTGTATGTTTGCAAAATAAACTGTACTGTTGTAAAAATGTGCTTCCAGCACCCTGATGCATTAGCTGTCTTCCAGTGACCCTTAAATATGACATAAATATTTCACTGCCCATAGTCCATAATGTAACTGCAAGAGGACAGCTTCTACAGGGAACTAGGAGAGAGAAAAGCAGTGCTCTGAAATGTAGTAGGACAATTTTTCTCATTTGTTAAATTCTAATTAAGAATGAAGGTTTTCTAAATACCATGGTCATTATTCCTTCAGTTGTTAAATCTTGAATGCACATCTTGCAGCCAGAATGGTTCTGAAAATGAGCAAATGAGGAAATTATTGTCTGCTACAATTTAGGAGCTTGAAGTCACTGAAATCAGGAGTACAACAGCCAGCATGCCCACCTTGTGTGATTTAATTATGTGGCTTTCCTAGGGGGCAGTTTTTGCTGTTAAAATCCTACTTAGGCAGGTAATGGATTTATTTCCCTTGTTACCTGAATTTTTCCTCTTTGTTTATACAAGGATGTAATTGTACAAGCACTGAAACATTATCAAAATAAAGGGCAGCTCTGTGGAAAAGTCAGGTGAAAACAAAGAATGCATCTTGACCAAGTGAACTAGGAGGAGGATTTATCTCCAATTCTGTTTAACAGTGACAGTGTAGTGTGCCACTAGAAATGACTGCCCTGCATGTGTTTCTAAATAGCTTTTCTTACTGAACAATGTTGTAGATGCTCATATATACAACCTAGATGTCCCAAACTCTTTTTTGTTGGTCCTTCTAATAATCTCTCTGACCATACAGAGAGGTTCCTATTAGGTTAGTAATCCTAGTGGTATTACTTACTTTACAATGTCTGCATTAAGAGAGGAAAACAAACAATTCTTATTTAAAGAGAAGACTGCTTAAAGCATGTTCTTTCCAGAAGTGGCTCATTATAATTTGTAATACGCTGGCATTTTTATGAACTTCTCCAGAATGTCAGGTACTAAGTTCACTGAAATTACTCAGTGGGCAAAGCTGATCAGATTTCATGTTCTTCTTACTTACCCTTTGGTTTTCTTTTTCTCTTTCTTTGGTAAACAGGTTTAGAACTGAGCGTTAAAGACTTGAGACTTTGGCCTGTGTTCTCAAATAAAGATTCCCAATATGGGAGGCAGGTGAAGTGCAGAGGGTAATCCCAGGCCACCTCCTGCACTACCAGAGAGGTAGAAAGGAGGCCTGAACTAAAGAAGGTGAAAGCACTGAACTAAAGATTTTTGGTATCACAAATCCTATGACTTTTTAATCCACTAGTTGTGATTCCATCCATCCAATCTGTTAATTCTGCTGATTGTACAACAACATTTAAAGTATTAAAAATGTAATAAGAAAGATGAATTTAACTTTTAGAATGGGAAAAGCTGACCTTGAAGCTTTAATAGGCAGCTTAGCTGGTTTTTAGTGACCTGAGATGGTCTCACTGGATACCATATGGCATTCAGAGACTTTGAAAATTGAGTTCTCTTTTGCTAATTTAACTGGAGGAAAAATATGATGTATTCAGAAGCTATTCTTGCCACTATCCTTCAAAAAAACAAATTAAATTTTCTTTTCCAGAGCGCAAGCCTCCTTTGACAACAGCGGTTTCAATGGGAGAGCCAGAGCAATCTACTACTGTGGACTCAGTAGATGTGCCAAAGGTCCAGATTCCTCCTCCTGCCCATCCTGCCCCAGTACATCAACCTCCCCCTCTGCCACATCGTCCCCCACCCCCACCCCCCACCAGTTACATTACAGGGATGTCTACTACAAATTCCTACATGTCAGGGGAGGGTTACCAGAGTCTGCAGTCAATGATGAAGACAGAAGGACCAACATACGGCGCTTTACCACCGGCCTATGGACCACCAGCTCATCTACCATATCATCCTCATGTCTACCCTCCCAACCCTCCACCACCAGTTCCACCTCCACCCCCTGCTTCTTTCCCCCCACCCAATATTCCACCTCCTACTCCTGGATATCCTCCTCCGCCTACATACAACCCTAATTTCCCACCTCCGAGACTGCCTCCAACTCATGCAGTGCCACCTCATCCACCTCCAGGGCTGGGAATGCCACCAGCTAGTTACCCCCCTCCTACTGTTCCCCCAGGGGGACAGCCACCTGTACCACCTCCAATTCCACCACCTGGTATGCCACCTGTAGCAGGACTTGGACGTGCTACCTGGATGAGATAGCATGAGGTCATTTGCACGAATATACCTTTATGTTGATTAGGCAGGAGTAGATAGCCAAAACCTACATTGTAAAGATGAAGAGGAGGGTAATCTGTATAATTTAGATGAAGAAACGAGATTAAATGAAAATTTAGCTGATCTGTTTGCAGTATGGTTTATGGTGAGTTATATAGGCTTCTAGATTTTAATCAGCTTTGCAGTATCTATTCTAACTTTATACATTTGACTTAAGTTTAAATTGTCTTGACTTATTCCAGCACTGGATTACTTTGTACTAGCAAAACCAGCCATATTGGCTCAATTATATCAGTAAGAAGAAAATTTCCTTCTAGAAATCAGTGCCTATTTTTAAGTATCAAAATAGCCAGATACTATGATATTTGATCTATAATAAGAAACTTCATTTTTAATAGTAAGTAAACCAACACAATGTCAAGCATAAAAGCTGCTTTATTTAAGAGAGATTCTGAATGCTAGCTGACTGGAATAATTTTGAGGTGTTTGCCTTGCTGATAGTTTTGGTTTGGAATGTACTGGTATCTTAAAATATTGTATGTTTACACCTATTTGCAAATTCCTGTACATAATATATATATTTTCTAAGTGTGAAAGTCTGAATGTAACAGCCTACTGTGATGTACATCATAGTTATAAATGGGACTACTTTGTTCACTCTACCCAAATAAAATTGGTTCTGAATTTAGTGGATTTCCAGGTTTTTCATATTAGTTCAGAGGTCATAACTATGGTTACTCCAAGATGCTTACTCCAAGGTATTTCAACAGTGGTCTCCCAAATCTTACTCATCAGTTTATTTAAAAAGAATGTATTTTATTTTATTCAGCTAGAAGTATACACTATCACAATCAATCTCTTACTTCATTTTTACTAAAATATTTCAAAAGAATGTTTTACACACATTATCAAAAAAAACTGTACTATTACTTTCCTTCCCCAAAAAAGCCAGAGTGGTTCAATAATAGGTAAAAACGCGTGCTAAGGTCTAAAGAATTTTGCTATATACACAACAGCAGGTGCTAACTTTTCCAGTTCTTTGTAAATCATATACAGAAAATATAGCAGGGCTGTAAGATCACAGGTTTAACAGAAATCAAACTTTAAACTGATTTCTAAAGCAGCACAAATAGACTTTCCCCACATTATGAAAAATATACAATTTTATCACTTTACAGTCATGCACTTTGAAAAAGATCAGTAGTACTCTTCCCCCCCAGCTTCTAGAAAGATAAAAGGTCACTTTAACACTGATTTCATTTAATATCTAATATTTGGATAAAAATGTGCCATTCTCAAACAAGGTTGTGCTCAGCAGTCTTATCAAGGTGCGAAGAGCCAACTGAAGCTGGTTACACTGCAGCATTTCAGGAACTGGTAGGGAAACACTGCTTACTCCAGTCACTCCAACAAAAGTCAAGGATGTGATTTTACTTTCCTTAAGCAAGCAAAGTCCATTTGTAAACAGTGGATGCTTTCTTTACCAGAGGATTGCAGAACCCAGGGCTTCAATCTTGAAGAAATTATCTTGGGCTATTGCCCCAAATACATGAATTTAATGGCCACTATTGCAAGGGATGCTCCCCTCCAACTTCATGTACAAAACTCCTCAGGTAGTTTTCACTGAATACTGAGCGCATAGGTAAGTGAATTTAAATATGCATATAAAATATCTATTTAGACAGCTGAAAATTCAGCACCCAAGTCATCCTGTAAAGTCATTGAGCATCATTTTACCCCAGGAAGACATTTTATAGCTCAAATGGAATAAATATGAAGATTGGCAGGCCTAAAAACCCCTAAACAGTAACACTGCAAGGTACAGCACTGCCATGTTCTTCTGCAAAATCAGTGATGTGCATCTTACATTGAAGATGATAAATAAAATCTTAAAAAGGGCAGTACCCTATGAGTATGAAGTTTGTTCAGCTGAACTGCTGGCTACCCTATAAAGTGGCTCTTCAGGATTTGCAGGGCTAATTGACCTCAATTGCAGCACTGTTTCCCTTGTAGGTGAGACCTGCAGGTGGAACAAAACGAGCTTTGCTTGAAGTCAATGAATAGATTTTGAGAGCAGGGAATATTTGAGTGGGAATTACATAGTGGTGAGACTAGCAATCTGATGAGTATAGCTCTGTCTTGTGAGAGGGCCTGCTAAAAGCCTCATATACCCCTTAAATAGCAGGCATGTCATGAACACAGTTAACTCTCTCCAAGTGCTGGCAACGCTTGTGTTGCTTTAGTTTAAATTCACTGACACAAATCAACCTTGTTCCAAATATACTTCAACTCTCTGCTTAATCCAGCAATCAGATGCCACCAAAGTTAAAATGGGCTTTCAAGCAGACAGACTAAAGTAACCCTCGTTTTGACTTCAGATGTTAAGGAATAATGATGCTCTGCTTTACATCACCTTTGCTGTCACAGAAATCTCAATGTATAAATTGTACAGGAGGAAGACAAATAAACACCAATCAATGGCGGCTAGAAACTGGAGGTCAAAATAAAAAGCAAGGAGGAGGAAATCCAGAATCCTCTAAAGATGCTTAAAGGAGACAGTCAGACTCTAGAATGGATTTTTCCAGACTCCATGGGATGTAAATACTATTAGACTGAGAGCTATCTAGCTCAGTGTTCACTGACTGAGCAGTAGTAGGAAATAATCTACTGGTGGGTGTGTGAGTGAGAGTATGCACTTGTGTTTTGGGGGTGGTTCTTGGTTATTTTTAAATAACCTACTCAACTGTTACATTTATATTTCTGCAATGAATAATGAAGTGGTGCTTACTCTTACTGGTTATTTTATATTTTGGTTGTATTCCTTCTCTATTTTTTTATTGGTTACAGGTTTCAGCTCTGACACTGCGAATTCTTCAGCCAGGCAGCTGTAGTTTATTGTACACCACGGGACCAATTACCTTTCATAATTCATAATAAACCATACGGGTTCCTTGGTATTGTATCAATGCTCCATGTAATACAATACCACAAGTCAAGAACTCAACTGGTAGAACAAATTAATTTAGAGGAAGAACCTGTCCAGCTAATACAGCTGTCTGTAGCTCTGACTGATTCTTGTAGGGAATAAAAAGAAATTAATGGTGTTTGAGGTCATTACATCCTATAACTAATCACTAAAAATCAATGCAACTTTTGAAGAGGAGGCTTTGATCTTTTCACATGCCTGTCTTTAAAATTATTTTACACCAATGAGTTCTAATAACGAAGCCCCACTTCCTTGGACTATTGGGAAAGAACATCTAATGAAATACAGGGACAGCTGCTGTGACAACTTGGAAAAGGAGGGAGTCAAATTCTTACAGCTACACAGGCAGCTACTCCACAATAGCAAAATGTAAATACCATTGTTTTATATACAACCATTTGAAGAAGCAAAAACCCACTTGTTTTGGTTCATTAATAAAAATAAAGCTTGAATGGCAGGAAGTAGTCTCACCTGACAGCCTGTGTTTGTGGAGTTTTTATTCAGCTCTGCAAGGTTGTTGTTTGGTTACCTCACACAGGAACCATTATAGGTGAGGGATCCAGCAAGAACATTAAAAAAACCCACCCCAAATCTTCCTTATGTGAAAGATGAGCTGCTTTTGAAGATCCTGTGAAAGCCATAAGCACTGTCAGGATAGCAGTTTCTGCTGAATTATTTCATAGTGAAAGCTTTACAAGAAAAGTGTTGCCATTTGGTAGGGAATACTCTTGTGTGGCTAAGTGACTTCATTCACATTAGATCTGTAGAAATCTTGTGTCATTTGATCATGAAAAATTGTTCATTACCACCTGACATGGAGTCTTAGCCTTTATGTACACTTGTGTGACAAGTACCACCATACAATGTGGGGCAGTACAAGTGTTTTTAGCTTGCCACTCAGTATTTTACACAGAGCCTTGTGAAAACAGTTGCATGTCATTCTTCAAAACAAGGACCTCCAAAAAAAGTGTTAGCAGCTCATGAATTTGGCAGGCAGTAAGCCAGTGAATTTGAATTGCATTTTCCTTGGCTGCCTGGAGCCACTAACCTGGCTACGAATCACAGACAAGCAGGTGGACAGGAGCAATACAAACGGTGACTTCTCTGCTGGTTAAGGGTTCTTCTTGTTCCTCTTAGAAATTCTCTTGAGTTAGTTAATTCTACAAACAGACCATTACAACAAAGCAGGTTTGAACTACAATAAAAATGATGCAAGTCTGGCATTATTGGATGGTTACCCGGTGAACAGTAGCTCCAGAGCACCACAGCCTGGAAATCAGGCCTTTAGCTGCCATATTTACACTATTGTTACAAAAAAAAAAAAAAAAAAAAAAAAAAAAATTGGGAAAAAAAAAAGAAACAAAGAAACCCTGAAAAACCTCAACCCCAACTCCCAAAGAACAGGCAGCCAGAAACACTGAGCTCTGCCTCTTTAGTCTTCACAGAATCCATTACTTCCAGTTGCCAGGATGGTGTTCCTACAAGGGACCCTTGAACTGGTTTCCTGACAGATGTTGCCTGATGGAGGGTTTGGAGCTCGCAGCATCACCCAGCTTTCGCCAGACAACCTGCAAGAAAAAATGAAGGGTTTGGGGAGAGAAAGACAGGAATTAAAATTAAAAAAAAGTCCAATAGCAAAACCACTGAGGAATAGCAATATTGTTTCAATTGCAGTCTGAAAGCCAAAACCAGCCCTTTCCTAGAGCTGGGCTGCAGTTCTCAGCCGGGACACTGGATGGCATCTTTGCACCAGTTTCCAAGGAAAGAAACCATTGATGCATTTTTCTAATTAGTCCCTCTTGAAATTAGAACCGGTTTTGCCTGGGGTAATAGTATAAAACAAATACACTAGATTCAGAACATAAGTTCAATGGTAGGTCAACCCTGCCATGCTTACAGAAAAGATGCTACCATGAACAGAAAAGATAATGAAAAAGATAATGATTAAAATTATATATACACGACTTTCTAAAAACATACATTTTATCACTCTAGGGCCACTATTTAAATAAAAAATAAACTGCACAAAACTTTATAGCTGCCTTGAATCTACATGGAATGAATATTTAAAAAGAAAACAGCTGATGACAGACAAATAGAGATGAGTCAGTTTGGGAGGAAGAAGTTACAGTATTTTACCTTTCCCCCAGCATAGCTACAAGGGAAATTAAGCAGACAAAATATCCTAAAAAGGAGGCTTTAATTTACTCTTTGCTTTACTTATAGGAGATGCTCACATTGATTCAGCTCGACAAGGCACACTCGTGTTCACACCTCCTTTTAGGGTTAAGGTGGGTTTCAGAATTTAAACAGAGCATCAGGCCTCTCTCAACTGCTGGAAGGCACTAAATGATGCCACCCGGACCCACCTCTTATGTGGACTTCAAAAAAAAAGAAGGCTCATAGCATTCTCCTCCCTACTCTGGGCAATTGGACAGCACATCCCCAACTGCAGGGGACAGGGGGCTCAGGCTGTGTTCCAGCAGGAATCTCAAACTTCGTGCTCAAAGCCAGAGCACGGCCAAGGTGCTCTGAGGCTGCAGACAATGCCATGGCAGCAGCCACAGCAGGGCACAGCCCTCACCATATGGGATGTGGCCAGCTCAGTTAACACTGTGGTTGCCCAAAACATCAGCAGAGTTAAAGCACCCCACATATCATGGTGCTGTTCAATGGCTCCAGACAAGACTCTCCCTCTGACATTACCACATGGTTTGGACTCAAACCTGTTCAAGCTGTACAGCTTTAAATAAGGCAAGCAATTGTTGCTTAACCCAAAGTGAGACCTTAAGGGCACAGTTGGAGACAATTGCCAACAGGGCTCTCCTAGGCAGGGAGGCAGCAAAGTGGGAACTATCTATTGAGCAAAGGCTGCTCTGTGCAGTGAACAAGGCACTCAGATTGCCCAAAACTGTGGTCAGCAGAGACTCCACTCTTCCCTTGTGCCTATGGGCCTCACAAGGCTTACGTGCAGCAGATCCCTGTTCCTCCATACTTTTAACAAAAGACCACAAAAGGAACCCCAAGAGCTGCTGGGAGGAGTTCTTACATTGCACATTTCACGAACAATTGCCTTCTCCTTTTCACTTAGGTCTTCTTCATAGTTGTCTTGCATTTGCCTGTCCAAATTTTCATGAACCTCAAGGACCTACAAAAAAACAGCATTACAAAACCATCATGATCCTCAAACAGTTATCTGTGTCCCTAAGAACATCATTAAGAAGTACTTAAATTGGCAGTATTCACAAAGCCTCGAGACAAGCAAAGACAAATGTGACATCAAGCTGGGCACCTCTGTCCTCCCTGTTCCCCAGCCACGTCCTGCCTCTGTCCCACCACCTTCAGGTGTGGCTGCTGCCAGTCCTGGGGACCATTGGCAGCAGGTTGCTTGCACCCACAAGTGCATCTCTCCCAGGAAGGCTGCTGCTAGTCCCACCTTCCAGGCAGCACCCCAACAAGCATGGTGCCCACACCCCAAACCTCCAGAGCAGCGCAAGTGGGAGCCAGCCCTGCCCTGCCACACCCCACTGTCCTGGCCATCCTCACAGAGCTCCTTCAGGGAGAAAGTGGCCAGCTGACCCCTTGACCACAAAAGGAGACTTCAGCCTGGGGCTAAAGGCAGCCTTCATTTCCAGCTGGAAGCACTGACCCCATGGATACCCCTCTGTCACATCCCATGCATTCTGACAGTTCCTCCAGACTGGCACATCCCACAAGGTAGGCACAGCACAGGAGCCCCCAGGTTTTATTCTTGCCTCTGTGCTGATTTACACACTCATGACACACTCCTCACCCAGAGCTTCACCACTGCTGAGACCTGTGGTCAGCTCAGTGTGCAGGGCAGAGATCCTGCAATCACCCAACATCATCAAACAACACATGCTCTCGTTCACCATTGTGCATCCACACACACAGGAAGGTGAACAAGGTGTAGTTGTGTGAATAAATATTCCTACACACCCCAGGGAGGTACAGAGCCATGCTAGGATGGGCTTCAGCCTTTGCTGAGGGATGAACAGCACTGGCTGCTCCACAAAATGGGATACCAGGGAAGATTATCCCCAGGTCTGCTTCAGCACAGCAATCCTGCTGCACTCCAAATGAGTTACAAACAAAAATAGGTCATTCTCCTAGGGCCTGCAGCCTACTTGGGACCAGTCTCTGCACAGACAGGAATTATCCACATCCATTCTAAGAGAGGAAGGGCAAGAGGGATGCAAAAAGCATGTACGTGCTGACAAAGAGAGCATCTATTTTCCGCTAAAGAGGAGGGAATTAATTATTGATCCAGCTGGACTCACACATTGAACTTGCCTGTCTGGAGCCTGTGTGCTTGCAGAGCTGGCTGCACAGCCTGCAGGAGCACGGCCTGGCAGGGAGCACAGGGCTGTCTGCCTGGCAGCCAAACACTGCCTGTGCCCACAGGGCAGAGTCAAGGAAACCACAGGGTGGGTTGGTTAAAGATCTCATCAGCCCCAGCCTCTGCTCCCCACAGCCATCCACCCTGCAGGCACAGGAGTCTCAGAGGACTAAAATAAACTGGTTTTCTACAACTTGTGCTCAAACTAAACCCACATTCCCTAGCCCAGGAGGTGTGAAAAGGTGGCACAGCATATTATTTCTTTCAGTGGAAATGTCTTTTAATAGTGTTACCCAGCCAGAGCTGGAGCTGAAAGATGATCAGATGGAAGTTATGTTTGTATTTCATTTCTGAATCTCATTTACCCTGGAAATCATCCTGCTTCCCAGGCTCAACCCATGTCTGGCTAGGCACTTTGTGAAGATGTGTTAGCATCTTGGGTATGGGAAAATGGGATTCATAGTGATAAAATGCAACAGCCTACCCAGGAAAGGCATGTTGGAAGAAAATACATTCTGAAGAGTGGAATAACCTCCTGAAGAAAGACAGGAAGGCCTTTCCTTAGTGCTGACCCAGCCCCAGCTATTCTCAGACCCTGCCAGATGCCTCCTCAGCTGTTTAGAAGGAGCAGGTCAATGCTCCTCCAGTTACAGCACTGGGGAATACAAACATGCCTCCACATCAGCTCTCTCTGGATCAGTAAAGTTCAAGGACTGTGCATTCAGTGTGGGTCTAGGAAACTGGGGTGTGTCCTCCTGTGCTTTCTGCCACCCCTCAGCCCAGGAGCCTGAAGGAAACACACAAATGCGCCCCAGGCTCTAAGGGGCTCATGCCATCCCCTGCTTTTTGCTTTTCATCACGCTGCACTGACAGCACTGGGTCCTTTGCTGACACAGCAGCCCTTGGTGATCTCTCTTTGTGGTATCCCTGGGTAAAATGCCAGCAGTGAGAGCAGCCTGCCCTGCTCAGGCATGGGGCTGGACTGGGAAATGCTGCTTTCCCTCACAGGGAAGTTACTCCCCAAAAACAGCTCTCACCTTGCTGTCAGTGGGCATGCTGGCTTCTCTGGCATTTTCCCTGCTGATACAAAAACTGAGGAACACCTCAGTGTTCTTTGAGACCACACTGATGTCTGTGAGCCAGTCAGTGTCACCTCAAAGTCACCTGATGCCACATCCCTTCTGACTTGCTGTACTGACCCCATATGGCCAAATATATTTTAAAAACAAATATTCAATCTAAAAATCACTACTAAAGAGTCTGAATGATAGTAGTAAAGAGTCCTAATAGCAGTAGTAAAGTTTTGGAAGGGAACCTGAAATTTGAGGTATTCATTTCTGCAACACAAAGCACGCTGAAATTGAGGGATGCTTCCCAAATTGTGAAAACCTCACTAATTTTGTTGCTTCATAAGTCAGCTGGACACAGCACTGGGAAACATCCTGCTTCAGGAGGGGAACAGTCCCTATGCCCTGCTAGGATTTTCCCTAGTTTTGGAAGGCCAAATCCTGTCTTGTCCACAATTAGTGGGAGTGATGATCACCTGCTTGATGGCTCAGTGTGCATGCAGGTCCAGGCTGCTGCTGTGGGGGCAGCTGGGCTATGGGCTAAATGTCATTCTTCTACATTTGTCTCCTCATCACCTCCCCACGTCTTTAGCAGGTTTGCTCAGTTCCTAAGAAAAGTGCTTTGATGTTCATTGAGATACTGAGCTGTAGCATATGTACCTTTTATTCTTGTTAGCAAAAACAGCTGTTAGGAGTGCCAACCTGTCATCTTGCTCCTTATTTAGTAGGTGCAAACAAACAAAACTATTTCAGAAGGAAAAATAAAGAAAATCCTAAACATGCTCAAGGAAGAACCTGTGCTAAATTGCAGGCAGTACTTCAGCCACACAGGTAGAACTTAGCTGGCAGAAAATCCCAAGGAAAAAGCCCAGGGGATATTATGTATGTGGGGGCAGACAGAGGCCCTGCAGATCCATGTGGAGCGGACAGTCCCTCAGTGGCTTTTGCTGGGAGCCACACCCTTGCAGCCTCACCACTTGTGGACAGGCTTGCATGCAGGTGTTCCACAAGACAAGTGGAGCAGAACTGCACAGAATCATGGAATAATAGAATAGTTTGGCATGGATGCCATTCATTAGGGCAGTTTGCTCAGTTCCCTACCCAGCCTGGCCTTGGACAATTCCAGGAATGGAGCATCCACAGCTTCTCTGGGCAACCTGTACCAGAGCCTCACCACTCTCACAGTACAGAATTCCTTCCCAACAGACAATCTAAACCTGCCTTCTTTCAGTTTAAAACCATTGCCTTCTTTCAGTTTAAAGCCATTGCTTCTTGTCCTGTCACTATGTGACACAGAACTCCCTCTCCCTCTTTTTTCTGAGTCTCCTTTACAGGACTGGAAGGTGCTACAAGGTGCCTCTGGAGCCTTCTCTTTTCCAGGCTGAACAACCCCAACACCCCCAGCATTTCTTTACAGGAGAGGTGCCCCATCCCCTTGATAATTTTCCCCTTTCCATCTCTCCTTGCCTGTTCTTGCAGCAAGGAGCTGGCCTGCTGAGCCATAAGCACTCCCTTTCTCAACCAAGCAGTGCCTTTTCCAATATCTGCTGTGGTACAAAGCCAAAGCACAAAGTCTCATTTGTAAGCTGCTCTCTTCTCCAGAGAGAGCCATGATCTGTGTCACAGGAGGTGAGGGTGCAAGGCAGCAGCTGCATCCACCTTCCCACGTGCAGGGGCTGCCACTGGAAAAGCTGCCCAGTTCTGCAGGGGGCAGATAACACCTATCCATCTGCTACTGCATGACATGGCCAAAACAGGTCTGCAGCTGGAGACCAGCACCTACCAACTATTCCACTGTGCCACAAGGGACAGGAGAGATTGAGACCATGACCAGATTCCTCAGGCTTTCAGTTTCCAGATGATCCTTGGAAATGGGCCACAGGATGGAAAAACAGACACCTCCTCATCCCTCCGTGCCACGCTGGCCTACAGGAGAATTTCCTCCTCACCTCAGATGTGAGAACATTTTTAACCTCAAGTGAGTGAGCAGAACACATCAGGGGGGATCATTCATGCCCCATGAGATGTGACTGCTGTGTCACCTGCTCCCTGACTCGAGCCATGGCAGCTTCCAGGGTTTTGGAGACAGACAAATTCACCTCCCCAGCCAAACAATGAAGTCGCAGAGGAGAATTTCTTCTGAATTTCTTTTAGCCCTTCCTAGGAATCCACAAAGCTCTGAAGCAGAGGGATTACTAATATGTGCAAACAACCATCCAAGTTCCTTTCAATTCCTTTAAATGAATCATTGCACCAGACTTTCCAAACTTAATTTCCAGTTTCCGCGAATCTTCCTTATTAATTTTCAATCCTTTTCATATGCTTATCAAATCATATCTTAAAACCATTTATGTTTCTTGCCCTTAGTGAGAAATTCAGTCCTGCAATTCCTAAAGCAAATAGGAAACTAATTGCTCCCCAGAATATGATCATAATCAATTTAGAAGTATTTGATCCTGTAATTTAAAAACACTACCAGCTCTGCTTAATACTATCCCTCACCAGCACCTTGCCAAAAGCAATGAAGAGAGGAGCAGAAAGGTATGAACTTCCACAGACTGGGAAGAAAAAGCCAACAGCAGTAGTCTGGACTGCATCAGAGCTTTGATGATCAAATGCAATCAAAGACAAATTAATGCAAAGTGAGAGAAAAACAAAGGTTCACACGGGTTTGCAACATTCTGCAAGGCAACAGTTCAGCAGATCCATCTGTATGTGTATATATATATAATATATGTATATATCTCTACACACAGAGGAGAAATGTCACCCACAAGCACATTGCAGCACAGTACAGGATGGAGCTTTCTCATAGCACAGAGCCACTCACAACAAGCAAAGAAGAAACTTGTTGGAAAACACAGGACAAATATATGGCAGCAAGTGAACTGCCACTTGTGTGGTCAGCTCCTTTGGGAACAAGCAAAAACTGTGCTAAAGGTATTTCTTAATCCTTGGCCATGCTGGATATCCTCCTCTTAAGGAGTTATACAATCAATCAATAGGAGTTATACAATTTGGATGTATAAAGTCTCAAGAAAGCTGAAAAATCAAGATTTTCAATTTGAAGTATCATTTATAATTTAAATTCTAATTAGATCCAAATGAAATCAAACTTGTCTTGCCTTTAATAGCTGCTTGAGAAATAGTGGCATTAATTCAAATCCTCCTGGGATCTGGCAACTGCCCAGTGGAACCAATATCCTTGCCAGCCACACTACTACTGCTTCTCCTGACATTTGTTGGTTTTACCATCACCACCACCATCACAATAGCTGTCCTGGAGCCAAGAGACCCTGGACAGGCATGATATACTAAGATAGAAACACTAAAAAGTATAAAATTTAGGAATTTGTGGATCACAACTACAAGCAAATCTGTGTCATTTATTTATGTGTCAGATGTGGAAAGGTACAAAGCAAAGAGCTTTTTAAGCATCTGTTTCCAGGTCTAAGATAATCCAAGCTGGTGATGCCACTGCTGGACCTTTTTTCCAGCTAGGACCATAGGGATCTGAGCTCCAGAGCAGCCATCCAGGAATCCTCCTTTGAGTTGATGTAATCTCTTTAACTCTGTACAAAATTCTTCAGCTTCAGCAAATCCAAATCTATAAATCACTATATTTCCACCAAAGACTAATTTAGTGAAGGGACTTCCCAGCCATCCCTATTGCACCTTGTAAAGGATTTGTGCTTTAGAAAGAAGCACAGAAGTATCTTGCTTAACTAGTTAAACATGTAGCACTGGGGAATTACACTTTTTCTGCTAATGGATGGTCACTAGAACCTGAAAGCTGCTGTGAAATCACAAGTTTCCTCCTTTAACTCACCTACCAGTCTCCCATGGTCCCATTGTCAATGGTCCTGACTTAATCCCTACTGATGATGCACATCCTACACTGTTTGTTGTATATTTTCATAAAATAAAATCTTTCTCCTTTGAAGACTGCTGCAGGATTTTCAATAACAAAATATATGAGGAAATGCAGGTTTTGTGTCCCTTTTTAAAACAGCATTTTGGTCACCACTGTCACCCCAGCGCCCCAGTTTACACAGGGCTGATGAACACAAAGGGCAACCAACACCTTCAGCATCAGCAGCTTTTACTGGAGGCTTCCAACCCCCCAAAAATAGCTGTGCATAATCTTGCTTAGCTCTGCAACTATTTTAAGAAGCAATGCTTATTCATCACGATACAGGTGCTGGTTACCAACATCCTGCCTGTGTATCAACTCCTGTGCTCAGCTGTTCCCACAAGCAGGGGCAATGCCCAGCTCTGACACCCCAGTGCCCCACACAGCCTTACCTTCATAGCATGCACCACAGCCTCTGGCTTCTGCCCCACAGGGACATACCCCGCTGCAGGGGAAGGTGCAAGGTCGGATGTCATGCGAGCTGGTCCCTGTGGAAACCAGATAAGATATGTGTTAACTCCCCTTTGGGGGATTTAAGTAAGGATAAATAAAAGATTCAGAAAATTTGACCACTAGCTTGTCTCAAATTTAATCCCCTCAGCCACCTTCAGAGACAAAAGACATCACTACCCCTTCCTCACAAGTCACTTGATTTGACACCATTTAAGCACCAGCACTCAGCCTAGATGTGTTCAGGCAGGAGATCACCCTGGTTTAAATCTAAATTGATTCAAGAAACATTTTTTGTTCATTTAGGATAGCTTTCCACCAGGACAAGATCAAACAGTACTCATCCTTCTAAACATGGGAGCAATGCAAACAAGAAGATTTTCCAGCATCAAACAGTCATTTCTAAGAAGCTGTGCTCATGAAAGAAACAGTTGGCATAACTTCATTGCTTCTCTGGCAGTGCTTCCACATTGACATCAAGTACCCATCTTCAGCTACAGAGAAAATTGTGAAAGCAACCTTAAAACAAGCAGATGTCCAAACCTAATGTTGGCTGGGTTTGTTTCCAAAATGCTGGCCAGTCCTCCTGCATGAAGGATTCCAGTGGGAACGATGCCGAAATTACATTTTACAAAAGATTTCTACTGTCCAACCAGCCTTGTAAGCATTTTTCATAGGGCTTTCCTTTTTCTACAGGCATCCAGCTTGAATTATGAGAGACACAATATCTTTATTCAGTGAGATGCACCCTGCCTGTCCTAATATTTTCACATTGCTTTGTAACTCCAGGAGAAATCAACAATGAAATCATTGACCAAACTTGTATTTAGCCTTCACATCCTTTAGGAAACACAAAGAATTATTATACTTGGGGGCCTCTGAAAGCAAATTGGGATGGCAGAGCAGCATGTAGCACCATCACAGGAATGCTTTCACACACAACACACGAGGCACTCCATTCACCTCTTCCCTGGTTTAAAAACACAGCATTTTTATGCTTTGTCTCATCATTTTGCCTTCCATGCCAAGGCCAGCAAGTTAGCTGTGCCAGAAGAATCACAGAATAATAGAAGCACAGAATGGTTTGGGTTGGAAGGGACCCTAAAGATCCTCTAGTTCCAAGCCCCTGCCATGGGCAGGGAACCTTCCACTGAATGAGGCTGCCTAAAGTCCCACCCAGCCTGGCCTTGGACACTTCCAGGGATGGAGCATCCACAGCTTCTCTGGGCAACCTGTGCCAGGGCCTCACCACTTTTACAGCAAAGGAGAACCAATGGAGGGGCACTCTCTCAGCTCTCATTCTTCCAAATGGTTTAAGTTGTAGGAGCCTTTTTACTCCTAAAAGCATTTGTGGCATGTTAAAAAGGAAAAGTTGGGCTAATCCATTAGGCTACAGACAAAAAGCACAGAGCCTTTCAAGCCCTGGCCACAGATCTGTGCCTAACCCATGCCATGACCAACAGCCATTCACTCAAAATAGCAACCTTCATGAACTGAGTTGCAGGTGATACACAAAGTTCCTTTGCAGAGGGGTGGCATCTCAGAAAAGGAAGGTTAGACTTACTAACCCCACAGAAATTCTCCAAGGTTATTTAACAGCCTGAAAAAGCAGAGGCACACACAGGATGGGCACGGTTCTGGACCTGGGGGCGGAGTGTTACAGCTTGGCCACCTGGGGACACAGCCTCAGCCACCCCATCCATAACATCAGACAGAAAAGCCAGAGGCTGAGGGGAGCACGAGGGACTGCATCCAGCCAGTCTACAGCTGCAAAATGGGGCACAAATTTCTCACAGGGCTGGTAAATGCAACAGAGTCCTCCCAGAATCAGCTTCCCACAGAGGTCAGAGACACCAATGCACTCGTAACTACTCTGGCTTCATCATGAAAGATGCCTTCTTTCCATAAATGAGCAGCTCCATGACAAAAGAAAGAAGAATATTCAGGAGTTTTTGGATCTTGTTGTGATATGGATCTTCTCCCATGGCCCCCTTCAGAACTGGCACAGGAAATGCCAAACAAAGGTCTAACATCTAATATCTCTTTGGAGTTGGGAGTAATATAACAAAGTTAAAAGGAATTCTGCTGGATATTGCTGCTGACAGCATTTTAAATACAGTTTCCTGGCCAAACTAGAGTAGATCACGAGGTCTCCCATATGAAAGACAGCAGCAGCTTCTCCTCACATAACTGAAGGCACTAATGAGCTACAAAGCACTTCCATGATCACAATCACTCTCAAAATTATTACAGAATACAAATGAAACAAAAATGATTAGAGAGAAATGCTTTTTCTAAAGAGCTTGATCATACTTAACCAATCACCATACTGACAAGATAAAAGCATTCTTGCAAACACAGTGATACACTGGATATATTATATCTCAGAAAGCATTCACAGGGTCACCTTCCTTCTCAGACAAAGGCACTCAACTGAGTGGCCCCTGAACACAGGTAAAGAAGAAGGGAAAAATAACTTTAAAGAATGAGAAATGCAGCAAAAGAGGTAGACCCAAAATTTGCAGTCAAAGTCAAAGCGACAGACTGCTTCACTTCTAAAATAGGCATGATCCTTGATCCTTAGCTTGGAAATCAAAAGCCCCAGCCAGCAGAAAGAGATCTCCAAATTGCTGAGTGCCATCATCAGCAATGGTGAGTGAACCATGGCCATGCCACTGAGCCATTGCCCCAGGCCACAGGGACCTCCTCACCATGCCAGGCTGGGGCTACAAATGGTCAAACACACCTGTGAAGAAAGTGGGGGAGCAAGCAAGGATCTCACCAGCATCCCCAGTCTTTGGGGGTGCAATATTTGGCAGCAATGCAATCTCTGCAGCTTTGGGATGCACCCAGTAAAATACACACATGGCTAAGGGTGGCTCCACGTTCATCACTGCAGGCAGTGCTCCTTGTGCAGCTGCACCTCCAGGGAAGGCTCTTCCCAGACACACAAAGTGTCAGCATTTTTAAAGGGGCTGGTGCTTCACTGCCACTGATTTCATGTGGTTCACAAAAAAAGAAAAAAAAGCTTCAGCCAAACTCCTATCAGCTTCCTGCACAGAGGCACACATAAAGGAGGCCAGAACTGCAGTCAGCAAGGAAAGAAGTGACAACATATCCAGCAGGATGCATGGCCAGCCTTTGGAGGATGGAGGAGAGGAAAACGGGCAGAGTTCACCAACAGTGTTAGCTGAAGAGGAGGAAATGGAAGGAATTGGAGAAAAGGTCAAGGTTGCTATATTGGAAAACTGCCAACAGTGGGAGAAGGGAGGGAATGGGAAGGAAGAGGAGGATGTGTATTTTACCCAGCAGGAAATCCATTGAGGTGAAATGCAGAGGAGAGGGAACCAGAGATTTGAGACAGGAGGTTGGAAGTAGGGCAGGCAAAATCTCAAGAAGTCAGTGTTAAAGTAGTAAGTAAAACTGCACAGATGGAGGAGATTCCTCATGCCTAGAACAGATGCATTTGGAAACTGTAGGCAAGAATCCCCACAGCTGCACCCCAGCACTCCAACTCAGCTAATCTGAGGACCCCCACCACTGCAGAAACCCATGCCCTTCCTGTTCCCTACAGCTGACATTTCCACAGACACAGGAACACCACTGACTCAGCACCCTGGCAGACAATAATAGCAAGGTTAATCTGGTTACATCCTAAGAAGCAGAAATTGTCCATATAGGCAAAAAGCAACATGGAGTGTTCTGAGGCAAGTGTCACTCTCAGTTTCCTCTCCCCGTCTGCTTTTGTCGAGCGTGCAGTCTCTGTATTAGATGCACATATGGCTTTTCCACTTGCCAGGTTTTTATAGTGTTTGGTAGTTCAGAGGTGGTTTACTCTCCACCCTCAGACACGTGGCTGAGGCATTATGTAATTATATAAATGAATGGTGCTACAAGACTGCTCAGAAGTCACCAAAAATGCCATTACAATTTATAATAGAGATGTTGAGAATCAGCATACCACTTCCAGCTGCATCCACAGCCAGTCACCCCAGCAGAGGAAGAGCTGCCCAGCAGTGAGATTACCTAATTAGGGCAACGCCTAATTAAGGAGAGGGCTATAGGTTATGTCTCTGAGTGCCCAGACGCTTGCAGGAAGCACCTTTCCTCCTCATGCACAGGGTTTATCAACCACTGCACCTCTGAGACCCAAAGACAGTTTTCCTTAAGAAGCAAAAGTCCCAGGGAACCAGAGGCTGTGGAGCTGTGTGTGACCCATCCCAAGCCTCCTCAGACACTTGGTGCTTTTGCTTCTCTCCAAACCACTGTGGCTGCTCAGACCACTCTAGATTGCTGTGGCATGGATCTCTGATGAGCTCAGCCCTGTCTCTGCTGCCAGGATGGCTCTGGGACTGCAGTGTCCTCAGAGGGTCCTGATGAGACTCTCAGCATCCCTCAAGGGAGGACAGTGCCAAGTACCCCCATATCCAGGGCCTTTTCCACAGGGAAAACCACAAGAGCTATTCCTCTGCTGCCTCTGTGCAGACAGCAGTACTGAAGCACCACTGAACACATTTCCCTAACAGCCCTCACTTGTTCTTCCATTTCAAGCACAAATATTTGCTGGTATCAATGATGGGACCAATGCACTTCTCAGAGCTTACTGCTCCCATGTGGCATCAGTCCCCTCCCCACATCACGCACACCAAATCCACAAATCTACCAGAGAAGCTCAATTCCATCTGAGACCCTCCCAGAAACCTCTCCCTGGAGTTGGCAGGGCTTGTCTCCAAGGCTCTATGGAGACTCACAGTCCAGCTGTACAACTGACTAAGAAGAGAGAGAAACTCTGCAGTCCCTCATGCCAGAGCACCCTTGAAGCAACATGCTACACACAGGGGATAAGTTCCCCAATTCTCTATTGCTAGAATGACACTGACACCCTCCAAACCAAAGCAAAACAAAGTAGCCCCATTCACTGCCCCAGACAAAAATCATCAGCAAAGCAATAGTGCCAATGTGAGAGAGAAAATCCCCAGACCACAAACAGTGCCAATGATCCTTTTCAAACTTTTTCAAAATTTTTCTGACACCAGAA